CCCCCCCCCCCCCCCCGACAAGCTTATAGACAGCCACAAGATCACCTCTCAGCCTTGTCTTGCGGAGGTTGAAGAGATTTGGGTCCCTCAATCTGTGTTCATAAGATCTTGCCCGCAGGCCCTCAACCATAAGAGTAGCCCTCCTCTGAACCCTTTCCAGGTTCTCCACCTCCCTCTTGAAGTGCAGTGCCCAAAACTGGATGCAGTACTCTAGCTGCAGCCTCACTGATGCTGCACAGAGGGGAAGTATCACCTCCCTAGATGTGCTTGTGACACACCTGCTAATGCAGGAAAGAGCATGGTTAGCCTTACTTATTACCTTGTCACATTGGCGACTCATGTTCATTTTTGTGTTGACTGACTCCAAGATCCCTTTCTGCTGCTGTGCTACTTAGAGTGGGACTTCCCAGTCTATAGGTATATTGGTGATTCTTTCTCCCGAGGTGCAGCCCTTTGCACTTATCTTTGTTAAATTGCATCCTATTCTGATCCGCCCACTTCCCCTGTCTGTCCAAATCTGTCTGAATTTGCTGCCTACCCTCTAGTGTGTTTACTATATCCCATAGTTTGGTGTCATCTGCGAATTTGGACAGAGTGCTTTCTAACCCCTCATCCAAATCACTGATGAAGATGTTGAACAGTGCTGGTCCAAGGACAGAGCCTTGGGGGACACCACTACCCCCATCTCTCCAGGTAGAAACCAACCCATCCACCACCACTCTCTGGGTGTCCCATAAGCCAGTTTTCCACCCACCTGACTGAAAAAAATCCATGTCACAGCTACTTAGTTTACTTATAAGAATTAGGTGCAACACTGTGTCAAAAGCCTTTTTAAAATGCAAGTAAATAACATCTACCTTTACTTCTTTCTGAGGTTCTTTCAACCTATGATCTGTGGGGATGGTTTGTTGTAAGCCACTCTGAGCCTGCTGGATAGGGTGGGTTATAAATCTAAACTATAAATAAATTTCCTCTTCCAAACCACTGCAGATATGGTGAAGACTCCCTTCATCATATTTGGCTCCCTCAGAATTGCTTCCCAGGATGTGCTGTGATCATCCTTGTCTTCTGTCCCATTGCACAGTACCTTGCAGAGCCAGTTTTGCTCCATACCTGCATAGCAGTTCCCTTGTTCTTTGCCTGGCTACTCCCCTTCTGCTACACTATCTCACTATATTTGGACAATCTTCTCCACGTTTAAGTATGCCGGTGCTCTCGCTAGGACTGCCTTGGCACTAGAGACTCTTGGAAGCCCTTTGAGCTGAGCAGCTGCCTCCCTGAAAGTGGTGGGAGTGCCCAGCTAGGGTGGGACTTTGCAGAGACGGGCATTGCTCTGGCTTCCCTTGTGCTGCACGTGAAACAGGATTTGTTTGCTTCTGTAAACAGGCAGGCAGCTGTTGCTGAGCAAAGGACCCAAAATACACAGAGGTGGGTCTACAGAGCAGAACAAAGACAAATCTGTTGGCACTGCCTTCCCTCACTTGCCCGGCTGGTGTAATACCTTGGCTGACTGCCAGCTTCCTGCCAGCAGGGTCACATGAGTTCAGGTTGCTTTGCCTATTATAGCTCTCTGCCCACAGAGGTGCTGCTTGGCAGACCCCACCAGTGGCTGCTGCACATCAAGTCAGTGCCATAGATGCATCCCAGTTCTAGATCTAGAGGAGAGTTCAGCACTTGCTAGTCACTGGGCAAGGTAAGCAGTGGCTTGTCTGAGGCTGCAGGTTCTGTCTCAAGGCTCTTGTTAAGCTTTTTTTTAAGTGGGGACAGCTGGAATGCTCAAGTTGGAGTCCAAAGGGGCCAAGCACTAGAGGGGTCACTTCCATTTGGTACCCTGACTCTGGACATGGGCATGGAGAGGGCAGATTTTGGACAGGGGGGAGAAGGGACCAAGGGCATGTCTGACTTAACGTTATGGGTAGTTGTTTGTATGTCCAGTGTGTCATATGCTCTGAGTGGCAGAGCTCTCAAGTGTGGCAGCCTTTTCCTCTGATAACAGTTAATTCTGGCTTGGGGCTCCTGAGTGCGTGCTGCTCCCATTCATGAAGTAGGGCTCTGATGCAGGATCCTGAGGCTAATCAGGATGCTGCATACATACTAACTCTTACAGGGGCAAGCAGGTTGGTACTGTTCTGTTGTGTGGGGACACCAAGGCATGGGAAGGAAAAAGATGACATGGAACCCTCAAACCAAAGAGTCTCAATTCTTCCACTTCTGACAACACTACCCGGGCTGTCAGCAAAAAAAATCAAGCGTAGTGGAAGAAAAGCTGCTTGTTCTGGGTGAAGTGTGCCCAAATGGGGGTGGATACAGTGGTATAACTGCTATTGGGGTAGTACAGTAATGCCAGCAAACCCCACAGGCAAACAAACCTGCAGGGCTATATGTGGATCTTTTCCCTCTTGCTTTCTGCAAACTCTGTGGTCCTGTTCTCTGCTCTTTGGGTCTGACCTTCAAGGCAGTGGGGGAGGTTTGTGGTCTGTAGGCTGGCTGAGTGGTGCACTGTGCGCGCCTCTTTGCCTGCTTTTCTAAGGGACTTGCCACTGAGGAAGCAAGCTGCTTTGCTTGGCTTCTTTCCATCTCCCCCTCTTCTTTCTCCCACAGCCAACAACAGGCACTGAGTGTTCCTGGAGACTCCTTGCACTTGGTTCCCAGCTCAGTTCTGATGACCTCTGAGCTCAAAGTGTCTCTACTGCAGTTCTTGCTGACTTTATTTAGGTTTTGAGTGATTGCTAAATTCACTTTCTTGGCTGTCAAAATTGTGGGAAGTGAGGAGGCAGCTGGTTCTAATGCTGACCCTCTGTCTCCTGCCTAAGTATGCTGCTCCAAGTGACAGCCAGCACTCCCTGCTCCCTACCTGTCCCCTTGCACTGTGTAGGCCAGGAAGGGAAGAACTGGGAGAGGGCAACACTGTTCCCATCCCAATCCTTGGCCTCCCCTCTGAACTGTCTGGGCCTGGAGCTCTTCAGCCTCCATTAAGTACATGTTTCTCTGGTGGAATGTTAACACGCTTTGATTTTCTCCTCAGGTGTCTGTGTGGGGAAAAAAGACTATGTCCACCATGGTGTATCCAAGGGAGGAGAAGCTGGACAAACTGAGCCAGGAGGAGATAATATCCAATACCAAGCTGGTGATGCAGGGGCTGGAGGCCCTCAAGAATGAGCACAACTCCATCCTACACAGCCTGCTAGAAACCATCAAGTGTCTGAAGAAGGATGAGGAGGCTAACTTAGTGCATGAGAAATCCAACCTGCTCCGCAAGTCGGTGGAAATGATTGAGCTGGGACTTGGGGAGGCTCAGGTGAGAGGCTCTGCTACAGAGTATGCTGGGAAAGGACCCTGCAGCACAGTGGCTGGGGCCATTGCAGGAGGGCTAATACTGCTTTGCTTGTCCCAGGGGCAGCATGCTTAATCTGCACCTGAGCCTGGTAATGTCTAATCTCCATATCAAGAGATGGAAGGGTTAGGGAGGTGCTTCCTTTATGAAGGTAGCCTTGGCACATCAGGGCGGGGGAACACTTGGCACACTGGGGAGTTGTTCAGCTCCTCTTGTTGGATTAATTGTGGCCTCATTGGTGTTTCTGGTCCAGGTGATGATGGCTCTGTCCAACCACCTGAATGCTGTGGAATCAGAAAAGCAGAAACTGCGCGCTCAGGTACGGAGACTGTGCCAGGAGAACCAGTGGCTGCGGGATGAGCTGGCCAACACCCAGCAGAAGCTGCAGCGCAGTGAGCAGACTGTGGCCCAGCTAGAAGAGGAGAAGAAGCACCTGGAGTTCATGAACCAGCTGAAGAAATACGATGAGGATGTCTCCCCTTCGGTAAGAGTTGGTGCTGCAAGGTGCACTCGTGCCCAGAACAATCCCATGGGCATGAGCAGGGTGCCCAATTTTTGCAGCCTGAGTCTAGCAGTTCATTTCACAGTCCCTGGCATGCACCTCTTCCCACACCTGCAGGGGCTCCTTTAGCCTCAAAGTAGGGAGGGTAAAGGGGGTAGGTGTCTTCCTGCTGGGCTTAGGCAGGACCCCACATCACAGCACACAGGCCCATCAAGACTTGGAGCTGGGTTCCCAACCCAAGAGAAGTTGGAGGGGGGGAGGGTGTTCTTATTAACTGACAATCTGCAAACCTTTTACTGATAGCCAAATTTCTTTACTGATGCATGTTTTTACTGATCTGTTTTATATGATGTAAATTCCCAGAGATGCTGATAGCACATGTGGCCGGTTTTGTGCTTCCTTCTCTCTCTTTGTTAGGAGGAGAAAGAAGGTGACTCTACCAAGGACTCTCTAGATGATCTGTTCCCCAATGAGGAGGAGGAGCATGGCCCAGGATGTAAGTGTTCTGCTTCATGCACTGCCCCCACCCAACCTGACTGCTGGTTCCTGCACCAAAAGCCCAGGCTGGCTTGGGGAAAGTGGGAGCAGCATAGCTTGCACCCCCCAGTTGACTCCCTTTGTGTGTTCTGCAGTGCCCCACCAGCACAGCAGTGCAGCGGCAGCAGCTCAGCAGGGTGGTTATGAGATTCCGGCACGCCTGCGTACCCTCCACAACCTGGTGATTCAGTATGCCTCACAGGGGCGTTATGAGGTGGCTGTGCCACTCTGCAAGCAGGCACTGGAAGATCTAGAGAAGACTTCAGGCCATGATCATCCTGATGTGGCTACCATGCTCAACATCCTGGCGCTTGTATACAGGTAAGGAAGCAGGGCTTTGCTGCTCTATCTGATGTGCCAATACAGGCCTTATGCAGATGTGGAGTCCACCAACTGGCAGAATCTGCCTCTAGAAAAAGGCTGTGGGTCAGTAACCATCTTGCAGTCTGGGCCTTGTTAGTATATGTGGAGATCACAGAGAACTGTGGGATGGGCAGGCCCTGTTGATAAATTGTGAGAGTGTTGTAGGGGGCTGAATTTGAGGGCAGCACAGTGCAGGCTGGACTTTGGAGAAAGCAATGGGTTGTGGGGGGGAAAGTCTCTTGGAAAGGGGTGGGGTGGCAGTGTTTTACCAAGCTTTGCATGTTCTGGATGTCAGTACCTTAGACCTGCAATAATTGTCTGGCTCTGCACTGCAGGGATCAGAATAAATACAAAGAGGCAGCTCATTTGCTGAATGATGCACTCTCAATTCGTGAGAAGACCCTGGGCAAAGACCACCCTGCAGTGAGTATCTTTCACCCTTGCCCAAGGTGTTGGTCCTTACCCCCCGGCATTGGTAGTGCAGGGCTTGAGAGTGTTGCCCAAATTCTGTGTCATGCTTCCCTTGTTATCCATGGCTAGGTCATCTCTGGCTATGAGGCTACAGGCTAGGTAGTGTTGCTGGGACTGCAGGTACCCAAGGAGAGCCATATGTACTGTGGCATTGGGTTGTGGGGATCTCTTTGCAGGGCTGGTACCCAGTACTCTGCCCCAACTCCCCAAGCCTCATGCTTGGATGACTGGCTGTGCTGTCCCAATCCTGAATTCTGTCAAACTCCTCCAGAACAGTATTAATTCCCTGCAGCCTTTCTGAATACCCCCAATACCAGCTGATGGCTCTGGGTTGCTCCTACTTGTTTGAGGTACTAGGATGCTCTTGCTGCTGTCTCACAAGGTACTGTGTGCCAGTGCTGAGTGAGAAGGAACTAATGTCCATGTTCCCACCAACTCCCATCACTTTCTCATTTTTATTTTTTTTTTTCTGAGTCCGTCTCCGCTTCACTGGATGTGACTTATGTTTTTGCAGGTAGCAGCAACACTGAACAACCTGGCTGTTCTCTATGGCAAAAGAGGGAAGTACAAGGAGGCAGAGCCACTGTGCAAACGAGCCCTAGAAATCCGTGAGAAGGTATCAGCCCCGTTACTCGCCCTCTTCAGGGTTCTGCAGGAGGGCACCAGTCCCAATTCCTCCTGGTGTCCTGCTCCTTTACTTTCAGAAATGCAGGAAATGGTACCAGTATAGTCCCCCCAGTCTGGGTGGGAAGAAGTGTCCCATGTCCTACAAATAACTGTCTGGTTCCTGTAACATTCCCTAGTGCTGCTGACCTCTGCCTTATTGTCTCTTTCCTTTCAGCTTTGCTTCAGACTGACATTATGGCAGCTCTTCTCCCATCCTCCCTAAGACTTGGGCTTACAGGAGCTTAAAGATCATACACACTGAGGGGCCATTTAGAGTCTTCTTGCTTCCTGTCTTTCATTCTAGGGGTGCTAGGCAAATGATCTTCTAGATAGGGCCCCTCTAGGCAGAGCTTGGGATATCCAGGATTCTGAGGAGAAGCTTCCATGCCATCTCCAAGGGCTTAAAATGGTCTTGAAGGGGCTTCTATCTGATATCTCTCTTCTCTGGCTTCCCAGGTCCTAGGCAAAGACCACCCGGATGTGGCCAAGCAGCTGAACAACCTGGCGCTGCTGTGCCAGAATCAGGGCAAATATGAGGAGGTTGAGTACTACTACTGTCGGGCATTGGAGATCTACGAGAGTTGCCTGGGCCCTGATGACCCGAACGTGGCCAAAACCAAGAACAACCTGGTGGGTCTGTCTGGGTTCTTCTTACAAGGTGGAGGGGGCTGGGTAAGGGATGTGGGAGGCTGGGGATACCATCTGTGTAAGAGGTGGAGGAGGAAACAGTGGGGAACTTTCTGAAAAGGGGGAGCTGTGATGTAATCATCTCTTGGGGCTTGAACCGCATGCTCTGTGTTGGCTACAGGCCTCCTGCTACCTTAAACAAGGCAAGTACAAGGAAGCTGAGGTGCTGTACAAGGAGATCCTCACTCGTGCCCATGTGAAGGAGTTTGGCTCTGTAGATGGTACGTACAACTGGATGGGGAGTCTAGCTTGGGCCCTGGGACCGGCCTCCCAGTGGCTGGGTGCAGCGCTCCTACGCAGATGGAAGGTATCTCTGCAAGGTTTCACTGCATTTGGCACCTGCCTCCATGCAGTCTGCTGATCTCAGCCAGGTGGGGCACGATGCACCTCCCAGGCTTTGTAGCAGTTTGCCTGAAGAGCTGGCCCTAGGTTCTGTTTTGCATTTTATGCTGTTCTGCCCTTTCCTTCCAACTCATGCAGGCAAATAGATTGCTCTCAGCTTCTGCTGGGTCAGTGGCTGGTGGGTTTCAAAGGAAGTCCTGTTTGGAAACATGTGGAGAGGAGCAACTGTAACAAGCAGGTGCTGTGCCTGTGCTGAGGCATGGGTCTGCTCAAAGGAGAGGCCATCAAAATAGATGGCTTCCCAGAGAGAGAGCAGTAGGAGGTATTCTCTGAAACAGTGGGCACGTCCCCCACAGGCATTCTCTGCCTCTTTCCAGGCTGGCCCTGTACCATGCTCCCTTGCTTGCTAGAGGGGCCCCCTGTTTGGAATCAGGGAGTAGTGCTGCAGCCTAGCCCCTCTGAAGGAGCATGGCAAGATGATGAGCAGTGCTCTCCTGTGTTCTTCCTGCACAGATGAGCACAAGCCGATCTGGATGCATGCAGAGGAGAGGGAGGAGATGAGCAAGGTGAGTGACCTCAGAACAGCTCAGCCCCACAGCTGGGATGGGGCATAGGGAGCATTTTGGGGGCTGGAGTATTTTCTATTTGCCACAGTCAGGAGTTGTCTCTGGTGTATGTACAACAAAGCAGATTCTGCACCTGGTTCTGGCCAGCAGGGGGAACAGGCATGAGAATGAGGCCCCCAGTGGCAGCCTCTAGGCTCGGGGATAGCATAGTCATACAGAGGAGGCCTGGGAGGGAGGGCACCGCAGCTACTCACTGGAGCTGATATAGGAATGGATGACAGTGGGTGGCAGGGGTCTAGCTGCTCTTTGGAGTGGGGGGTGAAGCTTGCTCTGGCTGTGCCTGCATGTTTTCTCTTTGCTTGTAGTGCTCTCCCTAGGACATGTTGGATGCAGAAGACGGCGGAGAGGCAGTGTTGCTGTACCACAGGAACTTAGCCTCTACTGCTCACCCCACCATTCATTCCTGGGGCAGCCCATAGGGCTGATTGTGGGGCTGGAGAGCCTGAGAAGTGGCAGACAGACCTGGGAGAATGCTGCAGCATGCTGTTGCCATCACCTTTCTAAAGAGCCTTTTGCAATTTATGGCTTAAGCAGGAACAGGTCATAGAATTCTGCCTGGGCCTCCTCAAAGCCAGGACAATAAGTCTGCCTCTGTAGCCTCATGGAGCACTGGGCCTTGGGAGGGAGGGAGGGCGGGCACCAGTTCCTGGCTCCTTCCAGTTGTATGGTAGAAGCTTTGCAAGCAGACATGCCTCTGCATGGCACTGAGCTAGCAACTTGGAGAGGTAGAAGGTTCCCATAACTTGTGTGCAAGGTCGTAGGAGGGCTGTAGTGCCACCATTCCCGTACGGGTCTGTGGTCTCTTAGACACATGCCCAGCGGGGTTTGCAGATGGGGATTATCTGGAGAAGAGTAGGTTGTGGGGAGGGATCCAATTTGGAAATTGGTAGGTAGTGAAGCTCAGCACTTGTCAGTAGGCTGGCAGCTGAGGGATGGGCTGGACTCCCTGTTCTCTCCTGGAGAGTGAAGGGGATGCTTCAGTAAAAGGCCTTATCTTTGTAATGTGGGTGAAAGCATTACAAGGCATCTCTTCATTCGTTCATTCTCTCTCTTGTTTGTTCTCTGTCTCCTGTCTTTCTCTCGTTTGTGTTCTCTCTCTAAGATATCCTATGCCATCTAGATCTTTAGCCCTTCCAGGAGATGCCAAAGTGCTATCTATGCAAGAAGGGGGTGTGCTGGAATTAATGTGCCTTTCCTATACCAGCTTTCTAGGTTGCTCTATATACAGAGAAGTGTTGATGAGGAGGAGAGCCCTGGCATGGCAGGGTTTGGGCTGTGGCAGCAGAATGGAACTTTTTTCTGTGCCAGCTACTCCAAAGCAGTGCCTGGTGGGGGAGTGGAGGAGAGGCCCTCTGCTTCCTGTACTGCCAAGCTTCCCCCAAAGGAACTGCTCAGCTTATCTAGCTGCTCTCCCCATGTACCCAGAGCTCTATCTGCCAGGCAGCTGCAGGGCTGGGTGGGGGGGACATATCCCAGAGCAAGTGTTGTAGCAGGCATGGCTGACATGCATGCATTTGGTCTGGGTTGCCAGGAGGTCTGTGGAAAGGCATTCTTCCCCACCCTACAGCAACTGTACTGGGGAAGGTCTTTTAGCTGCCTGAGCTCCTCTACTAGTTACCACCCTCCATGTCTGGATCTTGAGACATCCCTCATGCCCTGCTCTCCCAGCGCCTCCACCCCACCTCCTGCTCCCTATGTATGCTCAGTGTGAACATCCCCTCCCAAAGCTGGACTCCTGTCATGACCATCAGCATAGAACTAGTATTGTGGCTCAGGCCCTGTAGAGTCTCTGCTCTGTGTATAGGGCTGAGATACTTTAGGGCTACTGCTGAGACTAGAGACTTACTGAGTCTAGTGTGGGTGGGCGACAGAAGGGCAGGGGATGGGAAGAGTCTATCTTCTGCCCCCATCTCTTCCCAGTGCACTCAATTAACAGTTTCTTTTGATTAGCAGCTGTTGGTGTCCTGGTATCTTCTTACTTCAGTTCTAGGGCTAGTGTAGATGCTGACAGCTATGACCTGGATAGAAGAGGGAGGTACTAGATTTTAGTTCAGGGGCATCTTCCCACCTTAGACCTGGAGTGGAGCACTAGCAGGCAGGCCCTTCCTGAGCTGTTCTCAGTGCTAGCTTACCCCTGCTCCCACCACTCCATCCCTTACTGTGGTACAAGTTTTGGCAGCTTATCTGTCTGTCTTCTATTAAAAAATGTCAAACCCATCTTCCAGAGCTTCACTTTTTTTCTTGTTTGTTTCATACAGTGGTGCTGCGTTGGGGTTAAATGCTGGGAAGGGTGGATTTGCCAGTGTCAAGGCAGCGGTGGGCATGGGGCAGTTTCATTGCTAAACATCTGTGGGTAGGGAGGGTATGGGCTACTGGAATCCCCTGACTCTTTGCTGGTGAATATACACACATGGAGATCCTGGGGGTGAGGGGTAATGTTGCAGTGCGTAGCAGGTCAGTTTCAAAGCAAGGGTAAGGAGGTAATGCAGAGTTTGTGCCACAGTCTGTCTCCTACTGCCAAGCATGCTGTAACTCTCCAGAGACAAGAGGCCCTAACTGCAAGTCCTCCTAGCCTGTGCTGCTTAGATTCTTGGAGGCTCCCATAGACATGGGGACGGGGCTGAAAGGCTTGAAGACCGAGTAGAGGACATTTCCCTTACTCAGTCATCAAGCCAACTGTGCTCCATTGGTTCTGGGGAGGAGCCAGATGCATAAGGCCCTTGGCTGTGGGACCATGCCTGTGATGGATGCAGGGCCCATTCATGGGCAGCTCCACTGCAGGAGACTAAAGGTTGGTATGGTGAATTTGCTGAGATGCTTCTCCACATGACATTTGACCTTGTCTGAGAGAGACAGTTCTGTTGCAGGTTAGGAGCCTCAGGCTTGGGCAGGGGTCCAGGTGCAGGTTGTTTGTGCTAGGTGAATATCCTGCAGCAGAACATGAGCTGTCAGACTCCCAGCCCCTGTGCAATGAAAGACAGTGCATGTTAGGGTGATGTATAGTCAAGCTTTGGGGCACACCAACCTCCAGACCATGGGTGTACTTTGCCTCCAGATGGCCGCATGGGCCATTGAATTGTAGCGCCCAACTTCTTGCTGTTTATTTCTGGAAGCTGTGTGCAAAGTCAACCCCTAAGCTGTGGGATGCCAGCAGCGGCCCCAGCTGTGCTCTGCAAAGTGGTAGTTGGAATGTTAGACACATTCTTTTTCCACTGCTGAGGTGGGCAGCACCTTGTGGCCTACTGATGCCATCACCTGTTCCTGTGACATTGAGACTGATCATCTACCCATGCAGGAACAGTTGCAGACAGAGGGATCCAAATTCCTGCAGAGCACGCTTGGCCTTGCAGGCAGACAGGAGCTGTGAACATATAGCCTGTGGCTACCCACAGCTAACTGAGATTTGACTGAGGCATTTCCCTTTGAGGTGGTGTCAGCAAGCCTGCTAGCTTAGGTTTTGACCCTGTCCAGGCCTAGGTTGTCCTTTGCCAGCCAGCTGAATGAGGGCCAGGTGGAGTGGTCCAGCTCCTAAAGATAGCCAGCATGGTGTCACTCAGATGCTGTCTGCCCTGGAATTTAGTACTTGGGGCTGGGCATTCTTCTTTTTAGAAAGACTTGCCCCAGCAAGGAGATTCTCTTGAGGAACAGGATGCTTGAGCCAGACTGCTGAAATGAGCCTGGTGGATCTTAACTAGCAGTTAAGATAGAAAAAAAGGTGCGGATGTTAGGTGGTGCTAAGCCCCCAGTTTCTGCTGCTTGCCCTAGATTTGGGCACATATCACCTCAGATAGTCAAGCTGCTGAGATCAAAGGGACTAGGTTTCTGGGCTTTTTATCCCAACTCTGGGATTCTGTAGTTCTTAATATAATCTCATGTTGTGCTCCAGTGGCATCATGTGTTATTGCTGGCTCACATTCATTGTATATGTGTCTTGCTGGCTTGGGAACCAGCAGTAATGCTTGTGGTAATACTGTGTCAAAGAGCTGAGGCTGGGCAGTAGGTGAAGGAGCCCCCACTGCACCAGCACCAGGACAGTCTGAAAGCACCATTGCCTGAGGATGTGTTTTATGGTTTAAATTGTCCCCAAGGGACCTGGGGGTTCTTAATGCAGATCCCCAGGGGGTTTAAGGTTCTAGTGATGGCCAGATGCTGAGCTGCCATAGGCCAAAGCAGTGGAGTAAGACCTAGCAGTGGGTAACTGGGACTCACGGGCAGAGGGGGAGTATGCCTGGGACATGAATCCTGATCTTACACTTACTGGTCAGGCAGGAAGGATGAGGAAAAACAGTAGCCAAAGGCTGATCTAACTATCCCTTTTCTCCCCTTGTCTTGCAGAGCAAACACCGAGATAGCACCCCTTATGCTGAGTACGGTGGCTGGTACAAAGCTTGCAAGGTCAGCAGGTAAGATGAAGGCTCATTGAATCTACCCATCTATGCTGAGCTATGGGCCATTGCATCCAGCTCTGTAGCTGATCCCTTCTGGGACCAAGGTGCTCTTTTCCCCATGTTCTTCATTTGTGCTAGTTGTGTTGGGCTTTTGCGGTGGGTGAGGGGGCTGAGCTTCTCGGGGGACACTTGGCATCTGTATTATTGTGGCTGCTACTACTTGTCTTCAGGGAGCCTGGAACTAGGCTCTGCAGGGAACTGTAGTATATGGGCCATCCCAGAAGGCCAGGTTCCAGGCTTCTTGAGTCCAAAGACTCCTGCTGAGCCACTCCAGTAGCCTGGACAGGACCATGCAAGTTATCAACAGCTCCCCCCCCAGTGCTTTTTGCCTTCCTAGTTAATACAAACTGTGGACATAGAATGAGGAAGCCACTGATGCATACAGAGCTGAGTCAGTCCTATACTGCTGAGAGCCAGTTCCAGGAATGCCAGGGACCAATAGGGAGGCTGTGGCCATGAGGATAGTTGAGATTATGTGCCAGCCTCATGTTTCCTGTTGTCTTTCAGTCCAACAGTGAACACTACCTTGCGGAACCTGGGAGCATTGTACAGGCGTCAGGGCAAGATGGAGGCAGCAGAGACGCTGGAGGAGTGTGCCATGCGGTCCCGGCGACAGGTAACCCTAATAGCCCTAGGAAGCTGGGTAGTGGGATGTTACTTGGCAGATAATAGTAGCAACTGGCACAGCTGATCCAAATGGCAAACAGAACTTTGTAGACATTGCATTGTTTTGATACTCCAGGCTCTTCTGGTCTGATGTATTTAAGCCCAGGGCAATCCACAGCTAACTGTATACAACACATGCTTCCTTCTCTCTAGGTCAGGTCTGGCTGAGTATCACAAAGGGCTGGGGGCTATGAGAAGGTGTGTTTTTTTTTTAAATCATTGATCTAACAGTCTAGCTAGTGATCTCCCTCACAGAAACTTTGGGGGCTGGGAGGAAACTTCAGGGACTGAGTTATAGAAACAAAGTTGATAGGGGCTAGTTCCTCAGTCCAGTGTTGTAGCTAAGGGCTTGGTGGAATGGCATGGCCAAACTTCTACCAAACCAGTGATTGCTGAAGGCTGAAGAATACCAAGCCTATTCCTGTCTGCCAGGACCTCTCTACAGTTAACCAGCACCCTTTTTTTTTTTTTTTTTAGACCTGAAGATAGTGCTCTGGGACCACAGGGAGGGACTGAAGTGCTGATATAACAGAACGATGAAGCCCCTAGACATGTATGATTTGACAGGCCTAGCCTAGCATGGCTTCCAATAAAGGTGGTCACACCACTCTGGACATTTGGAGGGTGGAGAAAAGGGCAGGTAATTCCTTCAGATTTCAGAAGGCTGGCTAAGGGAGCAGTGTGGCCTAGGGTAGTGGCAGAGTGTTGCAGGCAGGGGAGGATCCAGAGGGTGTGTGGTTGCATGGTTGCATCCCCCTCCCCCACACACCCTTCTGGACAACACTGTGGGAGCAGCACCCAGGGACTTTAAGACCCCCAAAGTGGGTAAGAATCCCCTCCACATTCCCCTCCATGCTCACTGGCACTTTTACCTCTCCTTTCATTCCCTGCTGCTGCTGTCCCTACTGTTTACAGCTGCTATGGGGGAAAGGCAGAAGCAGCTCTGAAGCTCCTGACTCCAGCCAGGGCTGTGCAGGAGCTGGCTCAGCTGGGGTGGGAGCAGCTGCCAGGTTTCCCTTTCCTGCCTTGTGCCCTCACCCCCACCACCCATTCTTTCCAGCCCAGAAAGAGACTTGGACAAGTGGCAGCAGTAGGTGGGGGACGAGAGGAGGGGACATTCTGTGGAGCATAGAGGGGAAGGAAGGCAGTGTAGAGAACTGAGGGGAAGGAGGGACATTCTTATCTGCTTCAGGGATGTCAAAAAAAATCCTAGGCTTCTGCTCCTGTGGTGCAATCTGAAGGAGGAGGTGTGGGGGGCGGTGAAGCTGAGAGGGGAGATGCAGCCACCCCTGCAACACTGATCACTGCTCCCAGACCTGCCTTTACAAAATCCTGGATCTGCCTATGGTTGCAGGCAATAATCTTTGGCTTGCAAACTACCTTATTGTTCTGCCAGTCTGAGCCCTCCAGGCAGTCTGCCTACAGTTTGCATGGTGTTCTGCAGCATGGTTTGATGGAGAATGTAGCCCTAGGGACACGGGGCTCTTCCCTCTCCCTTTGTACCCACACCCCACCCACTTGCTAGATCATCCCAGTAAGTCTCCTGGCATGGGGGTAGTTGGTGGTCTATGCTGATCTGTTTTTGTGTCTGATCCTCAGACCAGGGGAATAGCAACATGGCCCCCAACAAAGCCCCCGGAGGAGATGGTAGCTAGTAGGGATAGGCCCGTCCTGATTCTGATGCTCCCTTGCTCCATCCTCTCTGCAGGGCATTGATCCCATTAACCAGACCAAGGTGGTGGAGATTCTGAAGGAGGGAGATGGTGCTGAGAAGAGGAGGAGCCGTGACAACCTTGGGGGAAATGTCAAGTATGAGAATGCTGCAGACGGTAGCGAGGAAGTGAGTATGGGCGTGGAGTGGAGTGGGGTAAGTACAAGTCCACCATCAAGAACAGCGTAGGCTGGCTGTGAGAGGCAGGGGGCAGTACAGGCTGAGGAAGGCCCCTGCTGGAGTGATGCCCCCTGCAGTCTCAGGGAGCTGATGGCCTGTCTTGGCACCCCTGTTTGCCTCCATTCATTCCCTGTACACTCCCTTTCCCCTTCTTGCCATCAGTCAGCCAGCTCAGAGAGAAGAGTGCTTGGTGCTTGTTCCTGGTGTATGTTTCTGTGGACCACCTGATGAATGGCTTCTGCTTTTGATGGGCTTTTGAGCCTTGCTTTGGAAATGTACAGTATAAACCAGTCTTAGCTTGTCCTTAACCCTAGTGTTGGCATTCCTATTAACAACTCAAGCTGCTGCTTCCCTTCTCTGGTGTAGGGCTGAGAGCACTGACTATCTCACTCACTACTGTCTCCATATGTGTGTGACTTCTGGGAGGGCTTTGTGGGCAGCTGCTGCATCTGCTGTGTGCAGCACCCTGAGAAGGCACGGTGCTGAAGGCATGTGTGTGTAGTGGTAAGAGAATTACAGCTGCAGAAGACTACATCTCTGTTGCCTCTAGGAGGGCTGAGATTCTTGGACTCCATGCCCTCCTCTCTGGCTTCCTTATGCCCTTCCAGTGGTTTATAGCAAAGGGAGGAGGTCAGAAGTTGAGTCTCTTTGAGGGCATAGGCAGGACAGTAGATGGGTGGTTGGGGGAGAGGGATGGTTCAGGAAGGTTAACCTGAGAGAGAGAAGACTGGGCAGTCTCTGGCGGGTGCATTTGTTCTGAGCATGAGCAGTTTCCTTTTTTTTGTGGTGAACTGTAGGTGCCAAAGATTGGGTATCTGGAACCAGCTCAGGTGTGTATCCAGCATAAGGGACATGGCATGTGATGGGATGCAGGAGGAGAGAATGAATTGCATGGGGCTGGTGCTGAGGTGGGGGCTGTGCAAGCCCTGGTTTAAAGAGCAAGGGCAGCTGTAATGGTGGCTGCTTCACCAAGAGACCCTGGTTGTGGCTGTACTATAGCTAGTACTGGGGTATGACTTGAGGCAGAGGAATGGAGTATGTTCCAGGTTGGGTTGGGGTGGGCTTCGCCTTGCCTAGGCAATCCTTGGCTGCCATGGCCTTGGCTATATTAATATACTCCCCCCACCCCCTTTTTCCTCCTGCATTGGCTCACTAACCCATTCTTGCTCATCTATGCCATGCACTAACCCTGCATGAGCTTCTCCTTCATTCCCCACTCATTACACTCTGTTGCCATGACAGCCAATCAGCATATGAGTCTCTTGCTGTCTTGATTGTGGATTGTACCCAAGAGGCAGTTGTGAAGTAACCTACAAAGGAAAAGATCGAGTCTCTTCCAGGGGAGCAGGGCTGGGAATGAAGGGAGTGGGTTGGTGGGGAGATCTCCTCCTTTCAGGAGGGCTAAACTAGGAGGAGCGAGGGGAGTTCTGACTTGCCTTTTCCAAGCTTCAGGGACCTCTACTATTTCGTTTCTGGAAAGACAAGGAGATGGGATATCCTTTCAGAAGAGCAGGGTTGATCAGGAGCCTTCCAGGACAGGGAACAGAGGGGAGTTAAGTCTCCTTTTCAAGAGAGGAAATTGGGGTCTCATTTCTCCATCGCATGGGTGCAGCTCACTACTTATCCAAGGGAAGTGTTGTCAAGGCACTAGCTCTGGCAGCTATCTGCTTTGCTATAGAAGAGGACAGACTTTGCATTCTCTGCATTTTAGAGAGGCAAGAAGTCTGTACCGCCTATCAACAGGAACCCATTCTCCAGTGTGGAGGAAGGGTGAGGGACTTCCCAGGGTGGGTCCCCAGCTTCCCCAAGGTTCATATCTCAGCTTGTTTCCTCTGGTTACTCCTTGCTGCACACTTTGCACCACCATGCTCTTTGATTTATTTGTTTGTCCTGGTGGTGGCCTGGGAGCTCTTTTCCTTGAGGGCCTGCACCCTGAGCCTAGGAGTTCTTCCCCTCTCTGATAACACCAGTCCTGGGTGAGGGATGCAGACCCTAACCTTCCTTTCCACCCCCTATGCCTCCCCCTTGCCCCACCTCCACCATGCTGCTGGGCCCACATGAGGGAAGTCGGAGCCCTTGGCACATCCATGTTGGCCTAGGAAAGAGCTCTTTTTTCCCTCTGATATGGAGGGCTCAGAAGCCTTATTCTTGACCTCATATGCCAGCTACCCTTCCCCCCCCCCCC